AGAAAAAGAAAGAAAGAAAGAAAGAAAAAAAGAAAGAAAGAAAGAAAGAAAGAAAGAAAGAAAGAAAGAAAGAAAGAAAGAAAGAAAGAAAGAAATTAGGAATCGTAAAGCAAAATACGAACGACAACAAAGAACCCCCTCGGGAATGCGCGGAATCCAGGAAACGGAAGCTAGAGAGCCGTGCTTCCGGCGCGACTCGGCACGCGCAGGCGGTTAGCCACGTGAAGGGGGGGGGGTGAGGCCGTGTCACATGACCCGCGCTGCGGCGATGGTGGCCCAATGGAGCTCAGAAAGGCGCCCGTGTGACGGATTCGGGCAGTCGGGGTCGGGTCTGCGCTCTCCCCCCCCCCCCCGTTCGTCCCGGGGACGATCCTGTCTGCCAGGGGCTCCGTGACGCCACCCGCCCTCGCCAGCTCGAGTCGGGCGTTCGGCCGGCAGTTTCGGCGGAGATCCCAGGTCTACAGGACGCTCTGCAGTAGAAGCAGCACCTAGAAAACGAAAAATAAATACCGTGGGATCGGTCGGGGTGCCCAGGGACTGCGGCAGAGGACTGACTCGCCATTGCTTTTAGATAATGTAACCGATCCCGTTAGGAGCCGCACGCTGGTTCACCCCGAGGATCGCGGTGGGAAATGCCGCCTTACAGGAGTCTCCTTAAAGGTTGGCGTCCAGCGCATCCCGAGAACCCCGCCACATTCCGATATGCAAGGCTTTGTTGAAAAAGAAAAAAAATTATACCTGGCTTTGGAGGCGCACGCTTTTAATCCCAGCACTCCCGAGGCAGAGGTAGGCTATCTCTGATTTCAAGGCCAGCCTGGTCTACTTAGCGAGTTCCAGGACAGTTAGGGCTGTACACAGAAACCCTGTCTCGAAAAAACAAAAGTTACCAAATTTGAATTTTAAAAAATCCTTATCGTTAATCCTATCCAGTAAAACTAATTACAAATATTTCTCAGCGCAGCAAAAATGGGTTTAATTCAATATTCTCAAAAAAGGGAGGCAGGGTGCAGAAGCCAATTGTTGCCCCAGCTGCACTAGCTGCTGGCCTGCAGGTGGCCAGTGTCCACTGGAGCTGCTCAAGTCATGTGATACCAGTACGCTGGGTGAAGCAGAACAGTTAGAAGCCAGCCTAAACTAGACTGAGATCCTGTCTCACAAAACTAAAAGCTTTTAAAGCAGCTTCATCTTCAGGTCTTTATTAATTTTTCTAACGGTTCTGATAGTTCTCTACATTGGCCCTGTGCTTGTGGCCCTCATATAAAATTCCAAACTTACAGCCGGGCAGTGGTGGCGCACGCCTTTAATCCCAGCACTCGGGAGGCAGAGGCAGGCGGGATCTCTGTGAGTTCCAGACCAGCCTGGTCTACAAGAGCTAGTTCCAGGACAGGCTCCAAAGCTACAGAGAAACCCTGTCTCGAAAAACAAAACAAAATTCCAAACTTACTTAAAACACTTGGGGTTGCTTTTGCTTATAACAAAAAACTTGCCGGACAGTGGTGGTGCACACCTTTAACCCCAGCACTCGGGAGGCAGAGGCAGGCGGATCTCTGTGAGTTCGAGACCAGCCTGGTCTACAAGAGCTAGTTCCAGGACAGGCTCCAAAGCTACCGAGAAACTCTGTCTAAAAAAAAAAAAAAAAAAAAAAAACCTCGATTTCATATTTTCAAGTGTGAACTTTGTTGATGAACGTTGATGTCAAAAGGCCACGTGCTTGCCCTTCTCTCTGGGTGGAGACACCCCCCCCCCTCACGGCCTCCCTGAGCTGTGTGAATGTGGGCGGAGACTACCCAGGCCAAAGTCACAGGCAATGCAGAGGACTGAGATCAGGGCTGCTCTTACAGGCTAAGTATTTAATATAGTAATCAGAAAACAAGCAACACCGAAGGCGGAACAGCAGGTCCTTACCAGGGCTAAGAGCCTGTTTGGCGGCCTATGTCAGCCAATGTTTCTAGTTCTAGCCAAGTCCAAATGACTCCACAAAAAAAAAAAAAAAAAAAGGAAATATTCATGGAAATTAATTGAAATACATACCTGTCTTTCTTACCTGGGGTTTCTACTTTAGGGTCTTACCAAGGAAGACTTGTACAAAGTAAAAGTACTTAAGTAGTTAAGAGCACTTGCTTCTCTTGCAAAGAGACTAGGTCAGTTACCAGCTCACATAGCCTGGAAGACTAGTTCCAAGGGATCTGACGGCTCACACACATACTCATAAATTAAAAATCAATCACTAAATCTTTTTAAAGTATTTTACCAGTGCTGGGCGTGGAAGCACACACCTTACTGAAGTGTGGGAGACAGAAACAAGTGGATCCATGAGTTCTAGGCCAGCCAGAGCGATAGTGAGAACCTAAGTCTACGTAAGTATTTTACCAGCACCTTGGTGGTTTTAAAGATTCTTCCAAGATAAAAGCTCACTTTGCAATTACCACTTTGTGATGTGATCTGTGTTAAGTTAGGCTAGTTGACAGAACAGAAACTCAAGTGGCTGTCCAGCCACAGGGCACAGGCTCTCAGGTCTCAGGCTGACGGACTGTGGAAAGGCCTGCAGTTAGAATGCTGTTGAGGGACAGCTGCAGAGCATCGCTGAATCCACCACTAGAAACAGAAGTCTCCAGCAAGTAGATAAAAACGTAATTCAAAGCCTCTCATTAACAAAGCAGGGAGGGACTGGAGAGATGGCTCAGCGGTTAAGAGCATTGCCTTGCTCTTCCAAAGGACCGGAGTTCAATTCCCAGCAACCATATGGTGGCTCACAACCATCTGTAATGGAGTCTGGGGGCCCTTCTAGCCTGCAGGCATATATGCAAACAGAATATTGTGTCCATAATAAATAAATAAATAAATATTGGGGGCTGGAGTGATGAGCATTGCTTGCTCTTCCAAAGGTCCTGAGTTCCATACCCAGCAACCACATGGTGGCTCCCAACCATCTGTAATGAGGTCTGGTGCCCTCTTCTGGCCTGCAGGCACACACACACACAGAATATTGTATACATAATAAATAAATATTTTAAAAAACAAAACAGGGAATAAACAGTACTTAAGAATGTTTTTAGTAAGACAGCGCCCCCCACCCCCCATGGTTTCACTGTGTCACAGACATCCACCTCTGCCTCCTGAGCACTGCGATTAAAGGCTTGTGCCACCACCAGGCTTTTTTTTTTTT